TAGATAGATAGATAGATAGATAGATAGATAGATAGATAGATAGATAGATAGATAGATAGATAGATAGATAGATAGATAGATAGATAGATAGATAGATAGATAGATAGATAGATAGATAGATAGATAGATAGATAGATAGATAGATAGATAGATAGATAGATAGATAGATAGATAGATAGATAGATAGATAGATAGATAGATAGATAGATAGATAGATACATACATACATACATAGATAGATACAGAGACAGATACATACACAGATACATAGATAGATACATACATAGATAGATAAAGACAGACAGGCAGAGACTGCATTCACATACCCTCAGACTGTTGATCAGGGAAATGTTGTTTAAAGTAATGTCATTATAATAATTCCGAGCATCTAAACACTCTTTTTCGTGGTTTCTGATCAGCGTGTTGATTTGTTCATTCTTCCGTTCTTCTATTTCATGTACCACCATCTTGTGTCGAAGCTCTAGTTCATCGCGTAGCGCCTCCATCCTGGTCTCACAGAGGTTCTCCAGTTCCTTCAGTTCTCTTTTATGTTCCAGGTGAAGATTTGTAACGTGTGCATCGTGTTTCTGTGTGAACATACGAAAATATAAATTCTTTATCAACTTATATGTAAATATATAGTAAACGTTGTGTCGATGCTGAATTAATATCTGCATCAGTACTGTAAATTCTTCATTCATTTCTGTGAAAATAGAGTCAATTTTTAATTTAAAAAATTATTGTTAATTTGCTGCATTAATTTGTTTGTAATTACACAGTAAGTACAATAATATTTAACAGTGTGTAAATATACAGTATTATAATTTATGCACTACTGTCTGTGTAAATATTAAGTAAGTGTCATCACTTCTCTGTGACTGTCTGTGTAAATGTACGGTTAAGTGTTAACATTTCTTTATCACTGTCTACGTAAATATACGGTTAGCATTATAATTTCTTTACCACTGTCTGTAAAAAATATACAATGAGAATCATTACTACGTTACTACACTCTGTGTAAATATACAGTAAGCATTATAATTTCTTTATCACTGTCTGTGAAAATATACAATAAGTGTCATTATTTCTTTCCCACTGTCTGTGTAAATATGTGTCGAGTGTTATTGTTTATTTACGATTGTCTGTGTAGAAATACGTTAAGTATCGTTATTTCTTTACTGCTGTCTGTGTAAATAAATCGAAAATCATGCCCTCGTGGGATAAATTTTTTGTTACTTTGAAGCCCCACCCTGGCTTTTGACGGGGTTCCTGAATATATCCGGGCCTAGCCATAGATATGGCATAAACGGCTGAAAGAGGTTTACGGGACCTCTCCACGGGTGGTCCTCATCCGCGTGGTGGCACTTTGTGTCACCGGGTGTTTATCGTTTGTGTGATGTCCTGGTGGGGTACAACAACCCAACTACCGTCTGTGTAAATATGTGTTGGGTATTATAATTTATTTTTCACTGTCTGTGTAAATATGTGTTGGGTATTATAATTTATTTTTCACTGTCTGTGTAAATATACGGTAAGTTGTATTATTTCTCTGCCACCGTCTGTATTATTATGTTGTAAGTATAATAATTCATGTGTAACTGTCTGTTTTAATACCAGTATAATAATTCCCTTATGACTGTCTGTGTAAATCTACGATAAATAATAATTTCTTTACGAATGTAAGTATAATTATGTCTTTACCACTGTCTGTGTAAATATACGGTATGTGTTATAAGTTCTTTACAACTGTCTGTGTAAATATAGGGTATGTGTTATAAGTTCTTTACCACTGTCTGTGTAAATATATGGTATGATAATTTCTTGAACTTTGTTTGTTTAAATATACGGTAAGCATTATAATTTATTTAATACTGTCTGTTTAAATATACAGTAAGTATGATAATTTTTTTAACGTTGCCTGTGTAAAAATACCGCAAGTATTATTATTTCTTAATGACTGCTTATGTAAATAATGCTTATGTAATAAGTATTACAATTTCTTTACCACTGTTATTATAATAATTATTTTTTTTTTTTATTAGTAGTAGCAGTAGTAGTAATAGTAGTAGTAGTAGTAGTAGTAATAGTAGTAGTGCTAGTAGTAGTAGTAGTAGTAGTAGTAGTAGTAGTAGTAGTAGTAGTAGTAGTAGTAGTAGTAGTAGTAGTAGTAGTAGTAGTAGTAGTAGTAGTAGTAGTAGTAGTAGTAGTAGTAGTAGTAGCAGCAACAGCAGTAGTTCTGAGTTAGCACGAATGTCTTTTAGCATAATCTCGATTTTCAGTCCCTTTGAATATGTGTAAATGAGGTTTTACTGTATTTCAAATATACTGCATTTTCCCCCCGTTAAGCAGACTACTACTACTACTACTACTACTACTACTACTACTACTACTACTACTACTACTACTACTACTACTACTACTACTACTACTACTACTACTACTACTACTACTACTACTACTACTAGCTTTATTAATATTGCTCACTTAAACAAGACTTAGGCCCTCTTGAAGCTGCACTTGAAAATACAGAGAATGGAAGTCAGCCCCCCCCCCCCCCCTTTCTCCCCTAGCACCCTAATGTTTCGTTTGTGTCGGCTCCCTTTGGACTCACCTTCTTCAGATCCTGTACAACATGAGAATGGGCCGTTTCTTGTCCTCGCAGCTTCAAGCTTCAGGGCTCGTTTATCCTTCCGAAACTCCAGCTCTGTCAGAGTGAGCCGGTCTTCAATGGTCTTCATGTTGACGATGTTCTCTGCTTTAATCTGGGCGATGGTGCTCTGGTGTTCGTACAGCAGGTACTTCACCTTCTGTTTGTACGCCTGTGACAAGAAAACGCCGTCATCGTCAACGCCATTATTATCACCGTCATGATTATCATCATCATCATCATCACAATTTACTTTGTCGTAGATACCATTATTTTTAACATTCATTACCATTGCCAACATTATCACTGGTAGTGAGCAACTTTGGATCTTTTCTCCAGGCTATCCCGGCATAGTATGTAATAGACAGGCAGACAGATTGGCTGGATCTGCACCACTGGGTGATGAATTGATACATGTCAAGGCCCTTTGGGAACAAGCTACGGAATCAGTAGAGAAACAAGATTATTATGGCCTGGAGAGAATGAGGCACCTGGGTGTAACCAGAGGGTCTGGCCGGCTCACTACACTCAGAGTAAAGGCAAGACGGACATATAACAAGATTGTGACTGAAGATGAGGACGGAGCATGCATGGGAATGCCCCGAGTGCTGGTGTGTCACTTCTTGACTCAACCCAACTTAACTAACAACATTATCACTATCATCGTCTCCACTATCATCATCGAAGCCACTATTATCAGCGTCCTCATCATCTTGGTCACGAGTATTATTATTGTCGCTGACATCATCATTATCACCAACATTACCACTATCATCATCAGCAACATCATCACTATCATCATCAGCAACATCATCACTATCATCATCAGCAACATCATCACTATCATCATCAGCAACATCATCACTATCATCATTAGCAACATCATCACTATCATCATCAGCAACATCATCACTATCATCATCAGCAACATCATCACTATCATCATCAGCAACATCATCACTATCATCATCAGCAACATCATCACTATCATCATCAGCAACATCATCACTATCACCATTGGCACCTCTGTTATCATTATCATCATCACTGTCGTCACAACCGCCATCATCGTCACTATCGCCATTGTCATCCTCATCATCATCACCACTATCACCAACGGCACAGCTGTCACAATCATCATCAGTATCACTGTCACCGTCGTCACCACTATCATCTCATCAATATCATCCTCCCCATCCTTATTATTAGCATCCCTATCATCAGCATTATCATCATCATTATCATCAGTATCATCATCATTGTCCTCCATTTCATCATTACTAGCATTATTATCACCATACCCTCATCCTCACACGCTATATTCATCACGGCTATATTCAGGAAGCAGGCACTTTAAACACCATTATTCCCAATTCTGCCCGCTACTGCTCTGGGATATGTGCACCCTGGAGCACTTTATGACCCTGGTGGCGCCAGCTGGTGGTAAAATCCCGTCTTTTCAGACGACAGAATGTGACTAAAGGATTTGCTTAGGTAAAAAAAAAAAAAGACAGTTTTCCACAATTACAGCTCGGGATTTCAAGACCATTGTTATCATTGGATACGTTTAACCTACTTCCTTTTGGACGTCCAGATCCTAACCTTAGAGCAAGCAATTTTATTTCCTTTCTGATTTCCCAACTCCACGCAGAACGATCAATGACGCCCTGTTCCAATGAATCCGCACCAATAGCTGTATCATTCCTATCCCGCTTGCTCACGTCTTTTTTATCGCGGTTTGGACCGACCACTAAATTGTCTACCCATCTGTCTGTAATTCATCATAAAGGATATATCAAGGCAAACCTTTTGGCGAAGAGAAACTTTTGGCATCGGTGCAAGTCAAACTTTACGGGTCGCTGAGTGAATTACAAAAGACAGTGAAGTTGATACTAGAGACAGCATTGCAGATATAGATAATCTATTTCAAGCGAACTAAAGAAGAAGAAGAAGAAGAAGAAGAAGAAGAAGAAGAAGAAGAAGAAGAAGAAGAAGAAGAAGAAGAAGAAGAAGAAGAAGAAGAAGAAGAAGAAGAAGAAGAAGAAGAAGAAGAAGAAGAAGAAGAAGAAGAAGAAGAAGAAGAAGAAGAAGAAGAAGAAGAAGAAGAAGAAGAAGGAGAAGAAGAAGAAGAAGAAGAAGAAGAAGAAGAAGAAGAAGAAGAAGAAGAAGAAGAAGAAGAAGAAGCAGCAGCAGCAGAATCAGAAGGGGAAGGGGAAGAAAAAGAAGAAGAAAAAGTCCTTGTGGACACGACCATCCTTCCCCTCTTCATCCTCCAAGCGTGTCCTAGCCATCTGGGCTTTCGAAAACTGAGCACCAAGAAAACTGTTGTCTAAGGATTATGAGACCGACATGCTCTCCAGAATCTGAGAATTTGTGATCTTGCCTTGAAAATTAATGCCAAGTATTTTTCGTAGGCATCCATGTGCGCATATTATTTAGCTGTTTTTGTTTTTGTTTTTTGTGTGTGCGAAAAAGACGATCAAATGTTACTGCAGTAAAGACGACTGCTGAGAACGGCATCACTAGTAACATTCGGTAAATTGACACGCAGCCATCTACCTTTAAAAACAGCTATCTACATGCAGTATCAAAACAATCAACCATCTACCTTTACAACTATCTACATTCCATTCAGTGTCAAAACATGCAACCATCTACCTTTACAACTATCTACATTTCATTCAGTGTCAAAACATGCAACCATCTACCTTTACAACTATTTACATTCTATTCAGTATCAAAACTTGCAACCATCACGTGTACACATGTAAACAAAAATATCTACATGCAGTATCAAAACATGCAACCATCCACCTTTACAAACAACTATCTAAATTCCGTATGAAAACATGCAACCATCTACCTTTACAACTATCTACATGCATTATCAAAAAATGCAGCCATCTACTTTTACAACTATCTACATTCCATTTAGTGTCAAAACATGCAACCATCCACTTATACACATGTGTACAAAAATATCTACATTCAGTATAAGACACACACCTATTACGTTTCTTCAAATATAAGACGGGTCTTATATTACATTTTACCCCAATGACGCCTTTGAGCTTGTTCTAAAGGGATGTCTTATTTTTCAGTATCTTAATACATTGCAATTTTTTTTACAATTTTAAAAGCACTAATACAGTGGAAAGATGAGTGAAAAATTAGTTGGAAGCAGCTGAGACGTGGTGGTATAGACAAATGATGATAATCATCATCAACAGGTGCCTTGCCGAATGGCGTGGGCGATCATGCCTCTCCACAGTCTACGATCTCCTACAGCATGTATCAGTTCGTGTGCCGACACGCCTCCATGTCATGCAACCAGACTGTCGAGAATCTTCTCTCGTTGTCTTCCTCTATCCCTCCTTCCACAGATCTTTCCAGTGGTCGCAACATGTTCCATTTTTCCTCTTCTCATAACAATGGATCGAAAACCACCCCTCCCCACGGCGCTCAACGTCTGAATATTGCTATCCATCGAGCAATAACGGCAGAAGTGGAAACTGATGAGGATGATGATGACCTAAATGTTCCTACTACATAAACCTTTTGTGGCTCTCAATAGATGCTTTTTCGCAGTGAATAATTTGGGACCGGTATTCGAAAGAGTGCCTAATTGTGGCGTACATTTAGGGTCTCATTAAAATTAGTTGCGTATACTTTACAGGACGTTGCAGAACCAACCCCAGCACTTTCTGGCTGTTTGTGGTTTTTCTAGGCAAATTTACGTCTAGTAGTTTGCCATTGCTTTCTAGAGGTCGGCTCTCGGTACCAGGGTCGAAACCATCGCAAGACAAACCTTCCGCAGCAGGGATCGAACCCGGCACTTCGACATTACGAAGCGCTTTCACAACGCCTAAGCCACAGACGCCGACACATTTAGGGTAGGGCTTCTATTACAAGTACCATGAACAATCATGCTAGGTCTTTTTTTTTTTTCTGAGTTAGGTCTTAATTTTGGGAAAACCAGGGTACATACCTTAATCTCATTCTGATGTTTCGCTTCTGCATTCTCCAGTTCCCTCTCTCTGTTTCTCACTTCCGTCTTTTTCTCCCCAAGCTGCCGCTTAGTGATCTCCCAAAAAGTGTTAATTTTATCCCGCTCTAGCTGAAAATAATTCCTCTCTTCTCGTTCCCTCTCCAGCTCCTCTCGCAAACCATTTATATACTCTATCAGCTGAAAACATACAGTAAGTATAAATAAATAAAATGGGGCGAGTAGTGATCAATAGGACTGCGTAAGCTTTAGCAGGTGATAATTACAACTGAAAGGGTATCACGTGACATTTTCCTCCTCGTCGCTTCGCTTTTGAGAGCGTCTGTGCGCTGCTAGCATCGTCGCGCTAGTAACTGGTAGATTTCACACGTTACAATTTCTAAATAAGTGGCGAATACATGCAGCGAGCGTTCTTTTCGTTATATTTGAGACGTGAACCGAGTAACTTATTTGTAATTAACAGTAAACGGTAGTAAACAATTGTAAAAACAAAAAATGCATTTTCTTTGGCAGTGCAAAGTGAAAGAGCGATTACAACCGTTACATACACGCCCTCGCTACTGGCTTGAGTTGCACTGAGCATATGGTCCAGAGTATCTGTAATCCGCCATGTTAGAAACTCGTTAGCTTTCCACCACTCAGGCTGGAGGAAGAGTTGTGAATGAAGATTCTGGAGCTTGTGCCGTAACTACAAGTAGTTTCACTATGGAGGTCATGGCTGTGACTAAAGCAGTAACATGGCTAGAGACAGAGGCTTTCACTGGAGCAAGCTTTCTCAGTGACTCGATGAGTATGCTCAGGAAAATAGAGATGGGCTGGGTCCGAAGGCAGTGGCTGGTGGCTCTACAGAATTCAAGGCTAAAAAAGATTAGTTTCATTTTCATGCCAGGACATGTGGGGGGTACAAAGAAATGAGGAAGCTGATAGACTTGCACTGATAGACTTGCAGGTAAGGCTACTGTGAATGCCGGACAAGCCATGGACCAGCCTGGCATACTGAATGCTCAAAGAGAGTTAAGACGTTTGCGTGTACCAACTGAGAACTGTGAATCTGCAGCCATGGCCAGTCTGCAAGACCAGCAAGTTAAACAGGGTGTCGCCAAACAAGAACAGTACGCAGGTAGACAAAGAAAAATAATAAATTAACACAGAACTGGTGTAGTCAGCGGCTACACCCTGTGGGATTTATTGAGGGCGGGATCCGAGCACTTATGGTCTGAGTGGTTCGATGTGTAATGATTATAATCTGTCGACTTACAAACTAACTAACTCACTAAGTATATGGTGCTTATATGTTGTTTTATAGACTGGTTGACATTCATTGAGTGAGGAAGCCATTATCTCGTCCGTCATCTTTGCTTCACATTAATATATTGATACCCATTTTAGGCTGTGTCGACTCTAGGGTCCAGGCCTTGTTGTTGTTCTTCTTTATAATTAATATCATCATGATCATCACTGTCATCATCAACATCATCGTCTTCTTCTTCTTCTTCTCTTCTTCTTCTTCTTCTTCTTCTTCTTCTTCTTCTTCTTCTTCTTCTTCTTCTTCTTCTTCTTCTTCTTCTTCTTCTTCTTCTTCTTCTTCTTCTTCTTCTTCTTCTTCTTCTTCTTCTTCTTCTTCTTCTTCTTCTTCTTCTTCTTTTCTCTCCGCTCTTCTTCTTCTTCTTCTTCTTCTTCTTCTTTTCTTCTTCTTCTTCTTCTTCTTCTTCTTCTTCTCTTCTTCTTCTTCTTCTTCTTCTTCTTCTTCTTCTTCTTCTTCTTCTCCTTCTTCTTCTTCTCCTCCTCCTCCTCCTTCTCCTTCTTCTTCTTCCATGGGACGGTCGGAAAATATGCAGACAGCAGTACTGCCAATGGAACGGCGAGGCACTCAAGGAGTAAAGAAAAGAAGAAGTAAAAATCAGCCTAGTAATAAACAACCTCGTTAATCCGAACTCAAAGCGGCCGAAAATTGAGTTCATGTTTAAAATGTCATGCTAATCGGGAGCTATTAACAGTAACCCATCCTTGCTGTGACTAACATTTTCTTCATGTAAACAGTGTTTTTCTAAAGCCAGTTCGTGTTAGCAAAGTTTAACTGTAATTTAGTTTTCGTTACCAATTAAAAAAAAATATCGTAGAAACGGCTGCCCGAACGGTGGAATCTGCGGTATGGTGATATTTTCGCTCTCTCCTGGGTAGAGTGTTGGGGGCGGGGCCAGGGGAAGGGGGTTCTAACCTGCAAAGTTCCGGGGGAGAAAATGAAGGGGGTCTAACCTGCATAGTTTCGGTAAGTCTGCAAAAGCCATGTTATTTAATACTCGGGCTCAAAGACCATCCACACCCCGAAGTCCATCAACGTCCAAAAGGGGGGGGGGTGGAGGGGGTGGGGGGGACGGTGAATATAGAAGGTGAAGAGAGTTTTTATAAACATCTTACCTCCTGATTTGACATTGTTTCTACAGGAACCAGTGCTTTTCCGTCCACCCCCTTCTTTCCCTTTCCTTTCTTTCCCTTCTTGCCTTTTCCCTTTCCTTTTTTTCCGCCGCCTTTCTTTTTGGGAGGCTGTGGGGAAAAGTGTTATCTTTAAAGATAATTATCAGTTATTACCAGAAGGCTATCGTATAGTGTATGTGTGAGTGTGTGTGTGTGTGTGTGTGTAATTCGCATGGCTTTTTTTCTCCCACCCCCACCTCCCCCCCCCCCCCCCCCCCCCCCAAAAAAAAAAAACTTGTACCGGTCCCCCACATAAGGTTTCTAATAAAAGGTGCCGGTACGCACCACAAAATGTTTATTACAGTAGTGCTGAAAAAAAATGCCTCAGAAGAGGTGCCAGTACAACGTAACGTCAGAAAAAAACAACCTAACTACACACTTTAATTCTTGACTGCCAGCCAGAAGGGCTTGAGTTCGAATCCGAATCAAGTCGGCTTAGTGCAGCTGATCTAGGCTTGATCCCAACTCCATTAGTGATTAGTGATTAAAAAGGATTATCATCACAGCACTCCGGACAGATCCATAGGTGCTCCAATCTTCTCCTCAAAAGCTCCACAAGGGTAAAACGACTGATGACGCCTGTGTTGGCTAATGAAACGTCTTGTTCCCTCAGTGAAACGATCATTTCTTGCAGCTCCAGGCTGCACACCCATGATAACAATCTAGACAGGGATATGGAGTCATGTCCTTTGGCGCGCTCCTCGGTACGGTAAGTGCAGCGCATTGCATTCCTTCCTTTTAATCGCTCCAGACTGCTATTTAAAGGTTTACCCACCCTGAGATTGTAAAATCTCAATGCAGGCAGCAAGTTAACAGGGCATATCCTAGATTTTTTTTTTTCTATTCTCCAAAAAACGTTATAATTGTTATGTTCATTATGTTTATTCAACGGATCAAAACATATTGCCAAACGGATGTAACCCATAAGTGCTCCGTTCTACTTCTAACGCCATTCTGAGTCTGAAGAAGCTCAGCACAGTGCACGAACTCCGTTGCACTGGCGAGGATCCTGAACTACTTTGGGTATAATTTTAACTCCAAATTTTGCCCAGGCAGAGCCGTTAGGCTACTCTTTTCGATTTCTAACTGCCAAGGGATTTTTTTTACGTGTTCAACAATACACATGGGCGTCCGATCTTACACGGCTGGCTATAGCAGAAAGCTAGGCTGCGGATCCTACTACTCCGATACCAGGTAAAATTACTCATCATCATTATCATCATGTGCCCTGTCAACTGGCTTAGGCGCTCATGCGTCTCCACAGATCACGATCCCTAGTTGACTGGAACAGCTCTATTGATGATATCCCCCCGTGCCTTCGTTTTAGCCCATCCAGCATCGTCTCTCTTGGTCTGCCTCTACCCCTTTGTTTACTGATCTTTCCAGTTGTCACGATGTTCTCCAATGTCTCTCTTCTTATTATGTGTTTGTCTCTTTCTTATTGTTGTATACAGAGATATACTTTTATTAGCCTCTTTCAAGCAATCGTTGTTAGTTACCCTGGCCGTCCAAGGTATTCCTAACATTCGTCTCAGAAACCACATCTCCGTTGCTTCCAAATTCTTCTTAATTTGTCCAGTGACATTCCAAGATTCTCTGCCATACAGCAGAACAGGTTGTATGTAACATTTTAGCGCCTCTTAAAATTACTGAAGTATTAATAGCAGTAGAAATAGAGGTAACAGTAATAGCGCAGTGGCCAAGGCGTCTACGAATTTATCCAAGGATACAATGGTTTTAGGACAATATAGACATTGATTACACATACCTGTCCCAAAGTATAGAAGGTCTAGAGTTAGGCTTGGTAGTCGTCGCTATTCATTTAACACTAACCATACTATAGGAAGGTCTGGAAATTCCCCTATTAAATCTCGAAGCTGGCGTGATGTGGTGAAATAACAGAAAGGAACTGAAATTGTTGCTCCCCAAACAGCTTAACGACAGTTGTTGTTACATATCTTATGTTATAATAATCAACATCACTGCACACTGGGCATTCTCGTGAGTGCTCAGGCATCCGATGCAGCAGCCACCCCAAAGTATTTCTTCTTAAGATTCCCCAACAGACCTCTACTTTTGATGTTGTTGATGATGATGATGACGAAAACGATGATGTTGATCATGACAGTACATACCATACTGATGGAGTTACAAAAGACTAGTTGGAGATCCTACTGAAATGGTGGAAATTCTACAGAAATCTTCATCGAATATTCTGTGAAACTTTTCAAATGGCTTTCTAAGCAACAATGTCCGGATATGGAAGTGTTGTTTTAATCTCCAATGCAAAATCATTCCTTCCAATTATCACTATCATGAGCCAGACACCTTCTTCTTCTTCTTCTTCTTCTTCTTCTTCTTCTTCTTCTTCTTCTTCTTCTTCTTCTCTTCCACCTTGTACCTCAGCGAAGTGTCAGGTGGAAATATAACATTCGTTGATAAGCTCTGACAAGAGCACTATTAAGATTTATGTTTATTTCTGTAGGGTGTTTTTAATGCCATCATTAAATTTTTTTCATAGGTCTTCCGCTCGCTCTATACCCGTTGTAACGTTCAAGTGTGGCTCGCTGAGGCAGACAGTACCAGGGCATTCTTGTTACGTGTCCAAACCACTTCATGTGTTGTTCTTTGATGACCTGTAAGACTGGCTTTATTCATAGCATTCGTCTGATTCCGTTTTCTGTCTTTCCTTGCAACTCCTGCAGCTCTTCTAACGCAGACACCGACTGTTATATTGTGATACGTGACCTGGGGTATCGAGAAAAAGAAACTTTTCCAGCTGCTACACTTTCCAGTCAAAAAATCATTTTCCCACAAGACTGAAAGCCTCACAGAGTCCCACAGTCTGTCGTATAACATTGATGATGTCTCTCCTTTTCACAGAGACCCCTCCCTGATTGTCGCAACACCAGACATAACGTCTGCTCTCTCATTGCTTTTCACACCAGCATAACCTGGGGCAAAAATCAAAACACACAAATGAATGGATACCAAGAATAAACACTTTCGTGTTGCAGCAACTTAAACAGCTTTCAGTATATTTATTGTCGTCAGCATTCATGACCATTCTGTCTATGCTGATTCAACTATAACCTTTATGTCAAAGTACCCTAGGGTGCGGAAAAGGGTACTTAACTTGCTGGTTACAATAAAAGCGTGTCTAAACTAGAACGCGGAAGTGAAAAAAAAAAAAACAAAAAGCTATGTCATGCAAGCGATGTGGATTTGGTCACTATGTTTTGAATGTTAAATCTGAATTAAGAACCGACATCATAGCACTCGGGCACTCCCATAAGCGCTCGTCCCCATCTTCAGCAGCAAACGAAGAGTTCCTATGCAGATGGGACCACTAACTGCCTTTTTGTATACAAAGTCACTACATAGTAGTACCAATAGCTGGGAAATCACAGTCCATTGAAATGTTAAGAAAAGAAGTCACAAATATTCATTCACAGACATTATAAATTCGAAGTTTGGTCCGCCTTTGTGATCAGGGACGATTGTGATACTGTGCAGAGATTTGCCACTCCTTGTGGAGCAGTAAAGTTTACGTCCAGATATGTATTAGATATTCAAAGAAGGGTGCAAAAAATGAAAGGGAGAAGGAAGATAAGGAGTGGGGATCGAGGAGAACAAGAAAAAGACGATTACGATGATTAAAAAGAAGTAGATTAGCAGTCCGCGTCTGCGGCTTAGGCGTTGCGAACGCGCTTCGTAATGCCGGGGTGCCGGGTTCGATCCCGCTGCGGGCCTTGCGCCTTGCGTTGGTTTCGACAGTGGTATCGAGAAGCCGACTGTCCTGAAAGCAATGGCAAACTACTGCACGTAAACTTGTCTAGAAAAACCATAACAGCAACAACAACAAAAAATGCTGGGTTTAGTTCTACAACGTCCTGTAAAGAATACGCAACTAACTTAGATTAGCAGTTGCAGGCGTGCTGCCAAGAAGAAAACAGCTGGGCGCTCAGCGTTTTGAAAGTCCTTTTTTGTGTGTGTTTATTATATGTTTCCACAATTAAAGTACGTCTGCATCGTTATCGTCATTCTGTTGTGCTATACATCAAATAGAACTTTCCTTTTACCTAGTCGCCTCCTACATGAATTTGTTACACGTTTAAATGCATGTTTGGTGATTTTCTGTTGGCTTTTCTACAGTGAAACGGAATGAGGCCGGACGAAAGTACCAAGATGAAAGCCAAATAGGAATAGTAAACCATGACACACAGAACTGGCGTCGTCTGTCGCTACACGCTGCGGGATTTAAAGTTGAGGGTGGGGGAGGGGGGTATGTGAGCACTTGTGGAATGAATAGTTATTTGTAAAATGAGGCATCATGAGAGCTACTAACATTAAATGGTTGGCGCATATGGAGAGAATGTCAGATGACAGAGAAGTGAAAACTGTATACACAAAGGAGATGGTGGTCGCGGACCACGAGGCAGACCAAGAAGACGATGGAGAGATAATGTCTAGACAGACCTGCAAACACTTGGTGTCACCAATTGGAAAGAGAAGACCAACTAGAGAGATGTATGGAGACGGGTGAAATCTGCAGAAAAGAACCTCAAGGGATCGGAATGCTGAAGGAGAAGAAGATAATGAGGATGGTCTATGGACATCTAATTGTCACTAAATTCCAGCCTTCTTTATCTTGAAACTAACTGTAAATACTAGCGATTGTCCAGAAATCTTTCTTATTCCTTCTTCTTTCTCAAATTCTTTCCGATCTAACGTCCACCGGTACCAACACCCTCGCCTCCTGCGCAGAGTTGCCATCACCTGCTAATTGACCATCAGGTCAGGAGGAAGGCATGCAAGCTCATGGGATAGGGAAATCCCCCAGTGTTGCCACTTTGAATGTTTTACATCCAGATTTAGATGTTTTCTCTTGCATTTAGATGGCGTTTTTGACGTTTAGATGGTAGATGTTTTTCTAGATCTTAGTTAGTTAGTTAGTTAGTTGGGTTATCATCATTGCACTCCGGACATGTCCATAGGTGCTCAGATCCTCCCCTCAGTATGAATCCCAACGTCCGATGGCTAATAGTACCAGTTCTATGTTGATTAACAAGTCTTCTGACGTGTCCGGTGTGCGTCTCGTTTTTTGCTGTGCCGATCTTAATTGCCAAGTCTGCCATTCTGGCGAGTGATGTGGATTCACTGCCACCAAAGTCCTCTATCCTTCCCATTTCTCTGAGGGCATTGATAATATCAGCATGATCCATAGGCCATTCTAGATCTATTTTATTTAGAGTGATTTTATCAAATCTAACCTAAGAAACAGCATGAAATTTGACATCTTAAATGCTGTCTTGACTATACAATTCGGCCTGATAAGAGCTGTTCCACTTATCAGCTCCCTAATTATGTATTTAAAAAATTGGGAACAGTTAAAGCATACCAGAGTCATTTTGGATCTGAAGCTTCAACTTCATCCTCCAAGCTAAGTTTATCCTGTGGATCTTGTGAGGCAGACTTCAGGAAAGATAAGGACATGATTCTAAAGGGTAAGTCATATCAATTGCTGTGTAATTTGTGACCTTCTATTTAAAGTTTTTTTAATAGATGTTTTCCACGCAAATTTAGATATTTTTTGACTCCGTTTTGGATGTTTTTGTGTCAAAGAAAAGTGGCAACACTGGAATCCCTTTTAGAGACGCCATTACAGAAAAACCAAAACAATAAAACCAGATGTTTTGTCCTTGTGTCTTCTCAGTCCAAATTTCGGCCATTTAAACCGAAACCGTTTGGTTTACTAACACATGAGCATTTGTTCATTCAAGAATCTTCACTCAGGTGTAATCTGTAAGTAAATGTACTTCGTAAAACAACTTTTACTTTAGCGAATAAGGAAATGGAGCGCTCGTTTTTTTAAGTCAGTTTCGGCTTCGGTCGGTCTGTGAAAGAAGCCGGATTTATTATTGCTCTGTTATGCTAACTACACACTAAACACATCACATATGGAACTTTTTTCTCGTGTTTTTTATCTGTGTGTGTTGCTAAATGTTCGTTTTTCGACAGTTAAACGGTGGATAGCTGAATGCACAATTGATGTAAAGTAAATTAGCGAAATAAAGTTGGGCCGCCATGCTTTGATGTTCAGTACAACGTGTATTGGTTTATTATTGATGGCATTACGGTTACTACTAAGATGTATGAAATACTACTTATTGTATATGACTTTACTGCTTTTATATGTGTCAGAAGTATGAATAGTTGAGTCGTGGGTGCAGTAATTGGTGTGAGATCTAGGAATCCGGATGTTTAAAAATGTAATGTCACATTTCAAATTAAAGTCCAAATTGATTGATGGAATGATCAATAATGATGGATGAATGGTACATTGGTAATTGTAGATTAGTTATGTATATTATACTATCGGGGATTAATCCTTTTTTATAATATATAATTTATAAAACTGTTTCATTTTTCATTACTTGTTGCAATTTTTAGTGTTTCTTTGCTGAGTATTTGTTGATACATTATACAAAGTACATTACTATGATTATGATTTTTAGCTTTTTCTTTATTGCTAAGTTTAAATGATTCTGTAGTAGTTTTTAACAATCCTAATGTTTCCTTCTTCTTCTCTTCCACCTTGTACCTCATCGAAGTGTCGGGGAAGGGGGGGGGGGATGTAATGTTCGTTTGATGAGCTCTGTCAAGAGCACTATTAAGACTGATGTTCATTTCTGTAAGGCTGTTCTTAATGCCAACACTCCATATTTTCCCGAGAACTGCCACTAAGCCGTCCAGCTACCGTCCAAAGTTGAAAGGAGAGCCCAGGATTGTTGCTTTAACTCTTTCATAGGGTCGTAGGTTCCAACCTAAAAGCTTAATCAAATGAACACTAGATGTATCACTTGATTTTACGTCAAGCGTTACTACCCCTTGGGCCTCTGATGCTAAAACCCTGGGATTTAAAGAGTTAACTATTTCAACAACATATCACAGATTTGTTGCTTAGTCTGCACATAGTACAAACATAATTTCTTCAGATGTTATGTCACCATTTTCAGTTATTTAATCCACAACATCACAAGTGTTACTTTAACTCATCCTGCCCCGTTCATCATCATCAACCACTTTTGCCGTTAAGCGGCGTGGGGAGGAATAATTTGTGGTCCAGTGAATATTGGCTGCCACGGGCCATTTTTGCATTCATCATCATCAAGTGCCTTGCCAGTAGGTGTTCATGCGTTCTCAGTATTTGGTGTTCTGGATCAATTCTACTGATAATATTCCTCCACACCACTGTCTTAAGCCATCCACTATCATTTCTCTTGGTCTGCCTCTGCCTCTTCTACCAGTGATCTTTCCAGTCGTCACGATATTTTCCAGTGCTCCATTTCTCATCACATGACCAAAGAACTTTGTTTGTCTCCTTCTCATTGTTCAATATAATGTTCTACTTTCATTAGTCATTTCCAGGCAATCATTGTCAGTTATTCTGGCAGTCCAAGGTTTTTGCAACATTCTTCTCAAGAATCACATCTCAGTTGCTTCCAAAATCTTGTTAAGAAATCTGTTTGCTCACATTCCAAGATGCACTACCATACATACCTCCTTCTGCAGTCATTAATTACACCAGGGACTACTACTACTGTTATTGCTACAACATTAACTACTATTACTACTACTGCTGCAACAACAACAGTAGCAACAATAACTATTCCTACTACTGCTACTAATACTGCTACTACTACTGGGGGACAGTGTGGGAGGGAGACAGGGTTGCATCCTATCCCCTGTCCTTTTCAATTTGTATTTGGAACACATAATGAGAGAAACCACTAGAAAATCATGAAACATCTCTATCTGTTGGTGGAAGACCACTGTATAATTTACATTTTGCAGACAACATAGAATCTCATGGCAGAACTCCAAGAACACTACAAAATTACTGAAGGTAATTAATGCACAGAAAAGCAAGATTCTGGTAAATAGTCACAATAACCAAGTACCCACCAACATACAGATAAAAGGGAAAAAACTAGAAGTTTAAACCTTTAAATATCTTGGCTCCCACATATGCATCAATGGTAGCCGTACCAAAGAGATCAAGACAAGACTTGATTTGGCAACAGCCGCGATGTCGCAGCTGAATACGATGTGGGAGAGCAAAATCAGCATCACAGTGATGGTCAATATTTACAAATCAATGGTATAGTCTATTTTCTTATACTGGTGTGAGAGTTGGACTCTCACTTTGCAAACTGAGAGGAGGATTCAGGCTTTTGAATGTAAATGCTACAGACATATTAAGAACACAAAACTAATAAATATGTCAGAGACAAAATATACAAATTTGCGGGACATCAGAAGAAGTTATGAATCTTTTGAAAAGGCTCATTCAGTTTACTTATTATGGGATTCTTTTCTAAGCGTAATTCTCCATACATCTTCATTTCAGGCCATTTGGTTGGATAATAATGTTGTGTCACGTGAGGCAAAATCCAGTTCTGTTGAGATGATGAGAACAGAGACCTGTGCTTCAACTAGCCTGTACTTCTATATCAAGGCTGTTATGTAAGATGAAGACTATCGATCTGGCAAAACAACAGTACGTGCAGTATTGCTGTCGCAAAACATTTCTCAGAGATGACGAAAAGCACAGGTTGAAGAACAGCATCCACCAAAGTATGGTCGCAGCAATTTCTGAGGTTGTAGTTTTTTTTTGCTATTGGATTGTTTTGTTTATTTTTCATGTTTGTGTGTTTTTCTGTTCACCTCTTCAAAAGGAAATCAGAGTTCAAATTTTGAGAGCATGCATCCTCCCTGTAGCAACATGCAGATGTGAGTCATAGACTATCTCCCAGTCATTAGGGAAGAAAATATGTATCTTTGAGTGTACTTTTGAGATAAAGTGCTATAGAAAGATTATCAGAATACTATAGACAAAGAAGAGAAGAAATACTGACATTATGAAAGATCTGAACATCGAGGAAGATTGGCTTGTCGCAGAAGCTGAAGTAGTTTGGCCATCGTGGATTGGAAAAAAAATAATAGCAGAAGGCATGGTACCGAGAAGAAGGGGCAGGGGCTGACTAACACAAGGATAGGAACAGGATATAAGTGACTCCTTGAATATGAAAGTGCATGAGGCGAGAGAGTTGCAAGAGATGGAGTTTCCTTCAGGCAGACTGTGATGAGAACGACGTTCTGCGAAGGACCTTCAGCATAATGATAATGGTACCTTCTCCTCAAAATTATCAACTGGAAAAAAAGAGGCCAGTTGTAAAGTTGAATGGAGGCGGGTGATTTCTGCAACAATGAGTCTCAGAGCTCGAAATGCTGTAGAAGTATACCTCCTTCTGACTGCAACCAGAAAGTTTGACACTCGGAGACTCATAGCGCCACCTTTCAGATGCCAGTCTCCCCATTTGGGTTCTGGAGCCTCATTTTGGGGTTAAACAGAATAGACACACTGTCCCCCAGCCAGCATGTTGTAAAAAGCAATTAGTGAGGAGTTTCTTGAAATTGGATGTGTTGGACCGAAAACAGATATTTCAGCCTAGCTGTAAATTACAACATACTGTGTCAGATGCCCTTTTAAAGGCAAACGCCACAGAATATTTTTTTAAAATAATGAATAATTATTTACGAACATTTTTTTAGGCACCTTTGAAGAGCTTATTTCAAAACAGCTGGATGTTTGATATACTGAAATCGACCCTAATACACAAAGCAACCGAGAGCCGTGACCTGATATCAATACAAAGAGCATTTAGAAGTTTGGAAAAATATTTTCTACTAATAGTACAGCAGCCGTGGAAGATGGAATTTCGAGAAATAAAGGTACGTGCCAGGTTACATCCAGGCATAAGGCTTGGCATTTGTTCTTCTTCTTCACTTCCTCTTTTACCACTGTGGGTGTCGAGGGAGATATAAGGTTCTGTTTCTAGCTCTTCTGGCCGCCTCGACCATAGGCACATCGGGCTGTTGTAGAGTTTCTCTGATGTTATCCTTCCATCTTGTTCTTGGTCTACCTCTTGCTCTACGACCTTCTTCTCTTTCCATGTATGCTTTGTGTGGTATGGTGTCACAAGGCATTCTCTCTAAGTGGGCAAACCATTTCACTTGCTGTCTTCGTATGTAATCCAGAATTGGTTCTGTGCCAACTTTTTTTCTTATGATCTCATTCCTGATCTTATCTCTTATGGTCACTCCTACAGCCCTTCTCAGGCATCTCATTTCCGTTGTTACTAATTTTCTTTTATGGTTTGTTGTGAGTGACCATGTCTGGCACTGGTAGCGCAGAGTTGGAATAAATATGCTTTGAATAAGATGTCTCTTTGTGCTGATTGGGATTGTCTTATGCTGTAAGGGGGGCTAGCTGTTCCAATACTTGGTTTGCTTTACTGCATCTAATGTTAATTTCTGTATCCAATTTTCCATCTTCGGTAAATGTAGTTCCCACATATTTAAACTCAGATGCCTGTTTAATGCCTTTGCACTCTATTACTATGTTTAGATCTGTCTTATTTTTTCCTATTGACATTACTTCTGTCTTTTCAGTGTTGATTCTCATATTATTTGTTTTACATTCTTCATTCGTGGATTTTAGATGTTTGGCATTTGTTGAGGTATTTTTATTAGCGGTAGTGTGGTGGTTGAGTGCTTGCCTGTCGCCCCAAAGGTTTTGGGTTCAGATCAGATTTGTGTACCTCTCAGGTTGATCCCGGCTGAAGTGGGTACAGGAAATATGTCTGGAAGTAAAGGCGAACAGTATAATGCTGATCATTTGGTTCTGTAGTACAGCAGTGCGTGTAACATGTTACCAGGCTTCAGCTGGTCTGACAGTAACAATTTATTTTGCAGGTAAAGATTTATTGTCTTGATAGTGTTCTGGGGTGGTTCCTTCTTTGTGATAATGTGTCATTTCTCGTCCAATATGGTGGATAGACAGACTTACTGTTTTTAATGGGAATGATGACTGTCTCCAGTGATAAGTTATCTTTGTGCCCTCACCTTGTCCAAATCATCTTGGTTGTTGTTTGGCTGTTCATGAATGCTAAGAATTCTTCTGTCATCATCATCGTCCATTTTCCACTTCTGCCATTAGGCGTTATGGGGAGGACAAGTATGCGATCACCTGCTTGGTGGGCAGCGATGGCTATTGTCTTTGTCTGTTCATGTTGAAGCTCTTTAATGTCATCAGTCCATATTCTCCCAGGGCAGCCTCTTTCTTTCGCTTCAGATCTTTTAATGTGTAGTGCCTGCGCTGGTAGTTGTTCTAGCAGCATTCTTACAAAATGACCAAACCATAAGATCTTATGTTTCTCGAATTTGCTGCATGGTGTCGCTCCTAGTCTGTCTGATTATATCATTTCTAACCTTGTCTCAGATTAAGTTGGCGGCTTTTCTCAGGCATCTTATTTCGCAGGTGTTAATTTGACATAGGTTGGACTTTGATAATGTCCAAGTCAGGCACTGGTAGTATAATCTGTTTCTTGGCGCTCATAATTATGTTTGGATGTCTTAATAAGGGTCTCAATTAGTATATAAGTGCCCTGGTTCGTTGGCAACTTGCTTCTATTTCCTAATTTATTCTCCCATCCTAAGAGAATATATTTCCTAGATATTTAAATTCTTTAACTTGCTTACAATTATCATTCAGTCCGATGTGTAGAAATTAAAAGAATTCTTCTGTAAAACCACATTTCTGAGACCCAAAGAAATTGTTTAGCTTGCTTATTAATTGTTCAGGATTCACATCCATATCTTAAAACTGGCTGTATGTATCATTCAAGAATCTTTTTCTTAATTCCAGTGACATTGATTTACTGCTTAAAGTCTTCTTTATTTTATAAAATCAAGTTTTACCCTGTTCTGTTCTTTGTCTGCGTTTTTTTTTTTTTTAAAGTATCCAGAAACCATGAGTTGTAAACCCTTTGGTTCGGTACTATGGATATCGTAACCCTTCGGCCTTGATTCCATTATAGGTACCGTTAATCTGGGAGAAATGTGGCTTTTCTGCCTACTCCCGGGAGTAAACCCGGACCACAAGGAGTTTGTCACCCGGCCGCCGCGAAGGTCAGGTTTAACCACTTTGTCTGTGTACATACTGGCCTAAAAGTGTTGTTAGTATTGTTAATACTGGAAGTAAGGCTAGTTTGTCTGTGTACATACTGGCCTAAAAGTGTTGTTAGTGTTGTTAATACTGGAAGTAAGGCTAGTTTGTCTGTGTACCACTGGCCTAAAAGGTTGTTAGTGTTAATACTGGACTAGTTTGTCTGTGTACACACTGGCCTAAAAGTGTTGTTAGTGTTGTTAATACTGGAAGTAAGGCTAGTTTGTCTGTGTACATACTGGCCTAAAAGTGTTGTTAGTGTTGTTAATACTGGAAGTAAGGCTAGTTTGTCTGTGTACATACTGGCCTAAAAGTGTTGTTAATACTGGAAGTAAGGCTAGTTTGTCTGTTTTTAACCAAAACAAAACAATGTATCACATTTGTTTCTCTGACAGATGTATGGTGGTTTCTACAGAACAAAAATCAAAGCAGTTATTGACGACTGTGAGCACATCTTTGAGCGAGCTGGTTACATGGTCCTTCCTGACAAATGTACAATGATTTACAGAGGCCAGATGGACAAGACCGTTCTTCTGGTCCTGGCGTTTGATTGTAGACTGAGCCATATTCGATGCAAAGCCATAGCTGACCAGTATGATAAAATGAGAAGTTTCTCAGTGACTCTTAGGGATCTTTGTGTACATGACCTTCTCTGATGAATATCTAGAAGAAATGCTTGCATTCAGACCCAGTCCAACGTATGTTAAAGCAGAAAACACCATGATGGTAAATTCTAATATAACAGCTCCACCGGCAGTGCCAAAACGTGAACCAATCGTCAGTGCTCCAGTGCCGAGATCAAACTTGAAACCAGATACGGAATTTTACATAAGTAACGATAATACACTCAAGATGAGTGCCAGATTGGCCTTACCTCTAAGTACATCACATTTGCCGTTTGACCCAACACTACACATTTGTCCTAACCCAGGACTACCCTCAAGTACTATTTCGGAACCTCTGTCTTATATTGCCAGCGACACTGATGAAATAATTCCAAGCTTGCCAGAAGGCACATGTGAAGACCATATGCGGGAATCGTTGAAACTAGTAAAACAGCAAAAAATTCCACGAGCGCAGGTTTCAGATGACTGGAAGTGGGTAAGCAGGAACATCCCAACAATGAGCAATGCATCCCATTTTCAAACAGCAAACCCATATTCAGTGGACATGACGCCAAACTTCAAACCGGATCCCTCACGAGATGAAGGGATAGGCCTGTCCACAATTAGTTCTTATGGTACTCAACAGATCTTGCCCAGCAAACACACTAACCTTCAGCAGGTTTCATTCGATCCAGGAAATCCGGAAAGCATCTACAGCCAGTCCTCAATAAGCCTAATGCAGAACTTGAATAACCAGACGATTTATCTCCCTCCGAACATTACAGCTGATGGTACCACCCCTCCCTTGCCTAGGAAGGTGTCATTGTCAAGGCAGAATGCACTCCAGCCCCCTTTACCACCCAGAGCTTTGAAACCTACCCAGAATGCACAGGACGATTCTTTGTTTAGGCAACCATATTTACCTGATCTTGTTAGTTATAGTCAGTATCCTGCTGTACTTCAGGCACAACTGTCAACTGTTGGACGGACAGCTCATCCAACTCTGTCAGCTCCGGGATATTTACCCCTGCCTTGGACACACGAGGCGGATTACATATTGCACCATGAGCGACCTGCAGTGCATAAAAGTAGTTCTTTAAAAGTTAGCAGCAAGGATTCTCCTTTGTCTGAGCAGATTGCCACATCAAGACTCGCTCGTAGCATGGATATGACTTTCTGGGAGTGTCCCTCGTGCTATAAGCTGAACTCATCTCCGAATGTTGTGTGTTCTGTTTGTTCACAAACTTACTCTGGAATTGATGTAACTGTACCTGACTATAACCAAGCGGAAGCCATGTTTTAACTCTTTCACCAGTATCTGTTGTTACTTTAAACTTTCATTTCCAAAGAAGTGGTTAATTACAATTAAATGGATACAAGGAAATTTCCTACAGTTCTATGTAGGTAAGGATCATCCACAAGGGAACCCAGATCTGTTTAAAAATAACCCTGTCTGGAGATTCACACCTGTGACCACCAAACCAGCAGGGAGATGTGCTAACCACTATCCCACTGCAGTTCTTATATAGTATGCACTTTATTTCTCATGTACGGGTTTGTGACGTTTTTTAAAACATAATCTGTCTTTCAAGTTATAAAATTTGATATAATGTAAATGTATAAATGTCTACTTTGCAACAAATTAAGGGTACAGTCCTCTGGCGGACAAATAAATTGCCTCACTTTAGCGTCAAGACAGTATACGACAAGTGAACACTGTAGCAGACGTCAGTGGTGAACTTGGCAGCACTTTTGTACGAGTGTAGTTATTACTGTGAATCTGCAGCCATGAGCAGACGGTAAAACCAGCAAGTGAAAAGGAGTGAGGCCGGAGAAGAAACGGTGCAGGAAGCCAAAGGAGATAATAAACCAGTCGCTACATCACAAGGCATGGGTTTCCAACCCATGACCCGTGTGTTACCTCGTCCATATAAAACGGGATCACGACTCAAAATAGGTTAAGAACTGCTGCACTGAGAGATATACTGAGAAGGGTATCTGAGCACTTAATGGACTGAACGGTTTGATGATCTGTCAGCTAACGAACGAGCGAACAAACTTTATTTTCAAAGAGTTACAAATTGGGCACGCAGGCCCGTCTGACATTCAGCCCTTCTAAGCACTCATCTTTCAGAGTACCAATGCCTGTTATGTATTTAATAATGATGCAACACCGCCATTTTCATTTCTCATGCATTCTCTTTCTGTCTGAAGCTGAGATTAAAATAGCATTTGCGGGGTCAAAAGTAACAAGTTTTACCATAGCAAGATTAAGGCGCCGAGCAATGTCATTGTGGAAAGCAGGAGAGGGCTACGACATTGTATATCCCTAGAAATTCTAAACAGTCTGCATCCATGGAATTTTTTTAATTGGCACATAAACAGCGTCATGTCCTGAAAGCTGAGGTATTTTGTCCATGTTAAATGTGGCCTGAAGAGAAGAGTAATGGTATAGTTTCTGGACAACGAGGCAGAGGCAGACCTCAATGAATGTGGATACCAGCCATTTAAGATGCATTGGCTGTGAAAGCACCTAGGGCTGTAGAATTGGCTAGAGAAGGAGACACTTTAAGGCAGGACTATTCGACTAAGTTTACAGATTTTTTTTACAGGCTTGGGTCTCGGTATGGAAGGATCATTAAACAATACATATGCCAATGATTCTTGTGCTAGATTTGGCTTGTGGGCTGCCAGTTGAATAGCCCTTCTTGCCAAGGTCTGCTGTGACGAGAGCGGTGCTCTGTAAAGGTTTTGATGATGATGATGATGCACCCCTGGATGTACAAATAAGTGAAGCTTTCTCTTGTGGGGGTTTGAAGCTGAACCCCTGCCTTGGCAGACAGACTGTTATCTCTGTTTTGCCGTGGCTTTTACTAGGGTATCCCCTGATGATGTTTCTGCACTATTTGGCGGCGACAGTGTTGCAGTATTTTTTCCAAATCCTTAATTTTTTTTAGGTATTACTTGTTTTAGACAGTTTAAACTAATGAGGAAGAGTGGTTGACAGAGTGGTTAGAGTGCTCCAGACCTGGGTTCCAACCTCTGTATAGAATGAAGACTTTTCTGTCAGGACAAGGATACAAATCTAACCTGCACAGTTCGTGGCAGCCGCACTAGCCGTCTGGGTAGTTTTAGGTTGGGTCAGTCTGAGAACCCTAACATTATTATCATCATCATGTGCCGTGCCAGTAAGCAGGGCGTTCTCTTGGGGGGAAAAGAATAGATCCAAAGCCCTGCTAACAAGCATGTATGTTAAGTCAAGAATTGACATCACAGCACTAGAAGGCATTCTCATATGCGCTCCATCCCCAGCATCCAGCGCAGAGTTCCAGTACTAACAGTGCCGGTCGTAGTCTCGTTTGTATGTCCGTTTTGCCTTTCCTCTAAGCATAGTGTGCCGGCCGAACCCTGTGGTGACACCCAGGTACATCATTTTCTACAACCCATAAAAATCTAGTTTCTCTTCTGACTTTGTTACTTGTTCTTATAAGCATGTAGTAAAAGTCAACTAATTTGTGGTGTTTCCTTCAAGTTGAAATGCTTCTGCCAGGAACCAACAGTCTGCATACAAATAAGTTAAACAGATGGGTAAGAAAAACTCTCAGCTTCAAGTGCTTTTTTTTTCTGTCTTCCATACTTGATGTCCACAACCTTTTAAAAATTTCACAGAATCATAAAATAGTGTGCTGTGTGCATGCGTGTATTTGTGTGTAGGTATATGTGATGTATAACAACACAAAAGGATGGAAATGGTGTCTTGTATGTGCTGTTTAGCTACATGGGATTGGAAACATATTGATTACAGAGTTGTATTAAATTAAACAGAGATGTCCCTTTGTCTAGAAAAATAAAAGGTGCCGGTGCTCGTTACAAACCATCTAAACAAGGCCGTGGTGCTTACCACAAAGTATCCGTCACAGATAAAAGTTTGTTGTGTATCCTTTACAGGTCTTTGCAGAACCAGCCTCAGCATTTCTTGGTTGTGGTTTTTCTAGGCAAATGTTGCGTTCAGTAGTTTGCCATTGCTCTCTGAAAGGTAAGCTCTCAGTACCACTGTCGAAACCAACACAAGGACAAACCGTCCGCAGCTGGGATCGAACCCTGTACCCCGCCATTACGAAGCGCTTTCGCAACGCCTAAGCCACAGACGCTGACATGTTACAGTAGCACTAAAAAATGATGCTTAAAATAAAAAGGTGCAGCTGTGTGTACCATTGTATACTGTCAAAAGAAAAAAAGAGCCCTGCTTCTCTCCTTGTGTTGTCTTTATCTTACACAGTAAATCTCTTTTTTAAATACCAAACCAATAAATACAAATTGTTTCATCATGGAGAAAACTGCAGTACAATAGTTCCCACTAGTCGGTCAGTCTTTGCTAGGTTGGCCTTACATCCTGGCTTTGATACAGTCATGTCAGTTTTGTCTTAGTGGTCAGAACAGATATCTGTGCTGACCACCAGGGTTCAATTTACGTCTTTTTTTTTACTGCTATAAAATCTTGCTTTGGGGATCAAACCAGCCATCTGCGAGTCTCATCATCTCATTCTTAATTAACTAATCTGCTTTGATCAGTGCTTTTGTTGACTAAAATATTTTATTTCTATTTATTGTTCCTGTGTTTGTTTCATAGATATTACATTATTCATTCTAACAGTGTTTTTTTTTTGGTTCATACTAAATTAAGTGAATGTTTTTAACATCAGCACGTAAGGATCATTTTCATGCCTGCACCTCAGTTGTATAATGCCAAGCCTATTTTTTTCCACAAACTAATCGGTGCTTGAGGAGTAAGGTCGTTACCATACCAGCCATTTTTACTTCTTAGGACATCGTCTGGTACCCATTTTAGGCAGGGCCAAGGTCATTTTCTGGGAGGGGGAAATCTGCCTTGGTTGCTGATCTGTACCCTAGACCTTTGGCCCAGCAGAAAGGAGTCTAGACGCTTGGAAACAAGGCTCCCATCCAAGTATAAATTATACTTTTTTTCATTGAAAACCTGGTCACTGCAGTCAACTATGAGTCACAAATTCTGAACACTGCATTCAAGATGTTCTGAACACTGCCTTCAAAATGTTCTGAACACTGCATTCAAGATGTTCTGAACACTGCCTTCAAGATGTTCTGAACACTGCATTCAAGATGTTCTGAACACTGCCTTCAAGATGTTCTGAACACTGCCTTCAAGATGTTCTGAACACTGCCTTCAAGATGTTCTGAACACTGCCTTCAAGATGTTCTGAACACTGCCTTCAAGATGTTCTGAACACTGCCTTCAAGAATGCTGTGCCCACACTGTCCTGTGTTAGTAGCGGGTTGCAGCTGAGGTAGCCAAACAAATTCCAGTAAATCAAGAAATGAAGAAAAGACACTCGAGGTGAATAGAATAGATACACACACACTGAGAAAACAAGGTAATAATATAATTAAAATTTTCTCTCATAAGAGCCCATACAATCAAAGAAATAACTGAACAAGCTTTCAATATGGTACACAGAAAGCTTAGTTTTGGCAAGTTACTTCTATCTTTCTTTCTATCTATCTGTCTTTTCTAATCTTATCTATTTATCCATCTATTTTATCTGTCCATCTATCGTCTTTCTCTGCTTAATGCTGTTAGGTGCCACAGGCATAGCTGTTGATTGGATTCCGGGATAGTGTGCGCTTGTTAGCTTGCTACATAGAGACATTGTTAAGTTTCAGCAAGTTGTTAACCCCATCTATCCATTTTCTTCTTGGCCTTTCTCTGCCTCTTGTGTTTCTATTCTCGTGTGGTGTGCTCTTGCAACCAATGATTGCAAATTATTTGCTTCTACATATATTTGGCTGTTGCATCTTCCCACTATATGTGGACTTAAAGTATATAGTTCTGCCTCCCTAGTACTGAGTTCAGTGCATGATGCGACACTATGAGCTGTGGATTTCATATCTAATGCTTTTCAACTATGCCAAGAATGGTTTGTACAGATCCAGAAAATGATGAGTAGACTGTTGCCCAAGACCTGGTGGTGCCCTAAACAATACTGTGCGCGCACCGTTGAACTGCCATTCTTGTGGTGGATTGTTTGTTTTGGCACTTCTAACGGCTGCCGTAGGCATTTTTGCATGTATGTGTGCTATTGACTTTGCAGAAACTGCAGACTTTTTCAGTTGTTCCACAAGGGAAATTAGAAACCGTGATTAACTAATTGACTTATAGACTGACCACACACACACACAAAAAGAAGAAAATGAAGTGAAAGAACGGTGGAGATAAGATGACTATGCATGAGTTGATTGAGGGCTTCTATGCTCCATTGGGAGTAT